CATAATAAAAATTAGTTGCTGCTTACTAGAAACATTCTATATAGCCTAAACCAATTTATAGTTTGTTTTCGATCAATTTAATACAAAGATTTAAAGTTTTTAGTCGATGATAACATTCCACACCAGCACATTGCAAACCTATTTTATAAATAATAGGAATAAACTTGTAAATCATTAATTTGGTAGTTATCTCACTCATATGATTTTTTTGTTTATATGACTATTTCGATTTCTAAATATATTTTGGCCTTACAATACGAAGCGTTTTGTATCTACCATTTTTTTAATGAACGATGAATGTTGGCAGGTGTGTACCTTTTTCGGAACAAGAGGCGTTTTAACGAAGGAAATGATTTTCGAACTATCTAGTTAGTTTTCGGAAAAATAGAAAACGTTTGAAGAAAGTTGTCATTAACAGTTTGTCGTTCATGTGTTTCATTTTGATCAGCTTTCATACTAAATTGCGTAGAATATTTTTCCGATTCAAAATCGAGATTCTCGATATTTCCACAGTTTATTTATAATACCTTCTAAACTGGATTTATCTATCATTTTATATACTTTATAATATATGTTCATGCCCTACTTTTCACTTTATTAACAATTTTTTTTAACATACTTCAAAATGGTAGGATATTCTCAATTCGTTGAAATATTTTTTTATGTATGTTGAGCGATAATTCTTTACCACGTTGCCCGATTTCTAGGATTATTTTTGTTAGAAAAAGAAACAGTTTTATATACATTAAGTCAAGATCTGAAGATGGGATCCATAAGAAAATCATTAACATCTTTATTTTTAAAGTAGGTTTTTTTTTAAATTTCTTTAAACCTTACTGGTTCGAACGCGGTAAGGAATGAAGAAATGTAAATAATTGTTGTGCCAGCCAAAAAGCGAAGAGGAAGTACCGATTAAAATATCGAGTGACAGAAGAGTTCCTAAGATTGTTGAGATCGGGTTTATGTTTTAAAATGCCTTAAAACCGATATCGATAATGTCTCCCCGTCGCTGGGCAGCCTGTATATAAATATACAGCTCTCTATTTACATAATTATAATTCTTAGGTAGGATTAGATTTGCAGACATAAATCTTGTAATAAATATAACAGCTGCCTAATAAAAATGTCTTTTATTGTACCTATGATTTGACTAAACACTACACAAAACTAAAAATAAAATGCCACTTTCATCGTGTAATTAATGCCGCGTTTGAGAATTCACATCGGATGCATTTTTTATCCACATCGGACACATCTGTCTCATTACATTTACGTATACTGAATCACGTGATCAAAGATTTACTACATCTCAGATGCATCCGATGTGGATTCTCAAACGCGGCATAAATAATAAACTACAAACGGTCCTGTAAGGGCAGCGTCATATAGCCTTGAAACACCGGATTTTAGTGCTATTGCCAGGTCAATATTGAATTTGTAGGTGAATCGCTTATTGAACATTAAAAATACGGTATTAATGACATTAATACGGTATTTGTATATATTTTTGGGAATGTAATTACACATAAATATTATTAGTTGATTATTTAAATGTGTATAAGTTATTTTGTGGCGATATTTCGTAGATATAAACTGTTTAAATCATATAATTTAAAAATTAATTAATTTAAAATTCTTTTCTGTTAGGTATGTTTAATATATTTGGCAACACTACAGGGACAAGTCATGCATATTGCGCAAGCTTCTAGACATACTATTTTGCGATGTCAAGCGCAGAGACGCGTTTTTATGCACAGTAGGTTTCAATTTCTGCTTAAATGTTATGTTTATATTGGTCTTCTATATTATTTCTATGAATGGAAGGGCAACAGCAGCGGTTCGAGCATACCGTAGACGGTTTCCTAACCGAAGAATTCCTGACTACCGTGTATTTATTAATACACATAGAAATTTGGTTGACCATGGTTCATTTCAACGTGATCGTGGACAAGGGAGACGACATGGGAACAACAATTTGGAACACGCCCTTAATTTATTTGAAGAGGACCCGAGAAGGAGTATTCGAACTGTTTCCACCCTTTCAGAAATACCACGAGCAATAATAAGTAATAATTACTTCCCTTTTTCTTTATACTATTTTGTGATTCTTAGTTTTTATTGCTCAAATTTACAAGTACAAGTATTAGAAATTAAAAATTTAAACAAACCGACTTCAAAAACGTGCAGATGCCATCACCACATCTTAACCAAATTTATATGGGACTTCCCCTGAGGTATCCCCTTACTAACAAAAAAATAATCATATAAATCGGACAAGGTGGTAAAGCATTATCGCTAAACATACATAAAATTATCAGATTTTGACCAAATTTATATGGGACCCTTCCTATAAAAAAAAATCATTGAAATCGGACACCGTGTTAAAGAATTATCGCAGAACATACATAAAAAAAATATCGCGACGAATTGAGAACCTCCTCCTTTTTTGAAGTCGGTTAAAAATAACACAAACAAGTTTCAGATTTAAGGTATTTTTAAATTCTTACTTTAGTTTACGTGTATTTTAAAAAATATGTTTATTTAGGTTGGAAGAATGTTAAGAATGCAGGGTATTCATCCCTATCATTATCAGCGTGTTCAAGCCTTAAGACCCCACGACTTTTTACCAAGAATGGAGTTTAGTGAATGGATAAGAAACCATCAGGAACTGCTTCTTTTTATTATGTGGAGTTAAATGCAATTGAGTATCTGAATTTTTTACAAACCCACCTTGAATCCATTCCGGATAATCTCCCATTAAATATTCGACATCAGCTGCACTTTCAGCACGACGGAGCGCCAGCCCATTATGGCGTTAATGTGAGAAATTGGCTAAATGAAAGATTTCCGGGTAGATGGATAGGAAGAGGTGGTCCTATACCGTGGCCACCTCGATCTCCGGATTTAAATCCATTAGATTATTACTTTTGGGGTCGTATAAAAGATACGGTATACGCTACAAAAGTTGACAGTGCGGAAAAGTTGCGTGAAAGGATACGTTTGGCAGGGAATGAAATACGGCAAAATAATTTTGAAGTAATGAGAGCTTCACATGCAATTACCCGTAGAGCCGAAATGTGCCTTCGTTAGCAAGGCAACGTTTTTGAACACTTACTTTAAATGTTGTATAAATTGATATATTTAGTAGAATTTTTGTTATTTTTAGTAGTATAGACAAAAACAATTTTTGAGAATCATTTGTTTATCGTCGTCATTTTGACCTATTTTAAGTCATCCTTAGGAAAATAAAAGTAGATACTTCACGTTAAAAAGCTTAAAATTATTATCAAATAGCATTTGCAATAATTAAAAGTAGGTAACTAATGATTTCTTCTCTAACTCAGTCAAACTTCATATTTTCAAGAAATTACCAGCTATTCTTAATTTCAAATACAGTTTTGCTATTAATTTTACGATATTTAACGTATCTGACTTATTTTTACCATCCTAAGGATTACCCTAAAAGAGTTTAAACGTCGGCAGTTAAAGAAATAAATTCTCATCAATCATTTTATTGGGCAAAAGCCAACCAAACCATTAAAAAAAAAAAAACAATTGATTAGTTTAAGTTTAAATACTATTTAGTTTTACCATTTAAAGTTATTTTATAAAATAAACATTAAATTAAAGCTAAATACATTTCTTTAGTCACCGGTTTTCCAAACCTGAAAAAAAATTCTGATTCCACAGGCCTGCTAATTATTGTCTGCACTTTCGAATAAAATAATATGAACTTATTATAAATTTTTCAAATGCTTTTTTCTTGAAAATGGTGCGTCCTAGCGAGATGCAACAAGAGTAGCTTTATTGTAAAGAAAACATTGAGTTTCCAAATTTTTTAGTCAAAAATGTTAAAAACTTAGGGCAATTTTACCTTAAGCCCATCTATGAAGATGATCAAAAACTAAGATTAAGTCCATTACATAGAGCGTAAAAAGATAAGCATTTGTACTAAATTTAATTTAGTTATCTTTAAGCGTTTATAAAAAATTTACAAAAATGTGTCATCAGGACTTCACTTTAAACACCCTGTATCTCGGAAAAGAAACGTTTTCGGACCTATGTTTATATGAACTTTTACTCCTATTTTAGGATTTAGATTACGCTGTTAAAATATGACCGTCTAATTTCGGGACACCCTGTATATAATCACGTTTAATTAATTAACCAGATAACATTTTATAAAAAAAAGCTATATGGCTTTTAATTGAAGACATGCGACAATTTTATCATTATTTGTCTAATATCGATAACCTTCCTCTCGCACTTTTTTTCTCCGTAATATTCCACAATAAATAGAGATGGGTACAGTAAACAATTTTTAAGAAGTAGTAACGACAAAAGAGCAGTAACAAATTACTGTTTTTCATTATGATATTTCAAAATTTAAAGCCCTTTGATTTTTTTTCTTGGAAACTGGAAATAATTAAAACTTTAAAATATAAGCATATTCTAGATATTATTGCCTTATTCATTTTCCAAAATTTCAATTTAAAAAAAAATTACTTTTTGAGATATGCTTGTCCAAAAAATTTGTTAGATATCTCCGAGATAGTAATAGCGTCATTCGATTTGGATTCTATAAAGTCAAGTGTCATCAGCGCAGAAATGAAAATTCAGGCGTTTCAGATATTTGAAAAATTGAGAAGTATAAATTGAAAATAAGAGAGGACCTAAATTAGATCTCTGCGGTACTCCACGTGCAATATGTATTAAATTGGATGTTTTTTCTTCGATTTGAACCCTTTGATATCTTCCATTTAGGTAAGAGCTCAATAAATTTAAACTTTGTCTTTTTAGGATATACAAAAATGAAATTCAATTAGAAAATAAGTACTTTTTAGAAAGATAAGGGAATGTACGAGGGGCGTGAAATATTACTAAGAGCCACTACAGTGTTTACAGCTAACCAAATTACGTCTAATTTTGTTGCTAAAACGAAGAAAATAAAATATATTCGGTGTTCGTTCACCTCGGCAGTATATTATAAAAAAATTTATTTAGAAATTTGAACACAATTCTTGTTTTAATTTATCAAAATATAACAAATCTTTGGAAGAGATTGAAGGTTTTACATCCACCATAGCATCCTTAAAATCTTTAAAATTAACAATTACGTTCTCTGAGGTTACCAGTTCTGATGAGAATATACCTAGAAAAAAAATAATTTTTCACTTAGATAAAAGAGACCAGAGATATAACATACACCGGTTTTAAAGCTGCGCAAATGTTGCCAATTTCTAAGGAAGGGTAAACGGAGTGGGGAAACTGGGCGGCGACACGCGGCGACCCGAACTCTGTGACAGGGACCGGACTTTGTTTATTAGCATCTTAATGAACTATTAGGTTTATTTAAAAGGTGTTTAATCGAATTTTGTATTATGAAATAAAATTAACATGATTTTCTAATATCAAACAGATGCCACGACATTATATGTAAAGAGAAGACCTTTTATAGAATATTTCGTTAGCGTTTATTTACTACGGACTTTTCTGCAAGAGATTACAGTAAAATGTTGAAATAGAATATATTGTTAATAGAGCAAAAAATGTTACTCATTGTCTACGAGTATTATAAAAATAGCATGTGCGCAGGCTAATACTGCAAATCTACCCTTATGAGTTGAACATTATATTTTTTCTACGGCTATTACATATAAAATAAAATAATGTTTTGTATTGTAACCTCAGAAAAAAGTATATTAAGGATTCTTTCTTTAAGAATATTAATTATTATAAAGGATGAGTCACATAAAACTCTAGAAATGCATATGTCTGAAACCAGATAACATTTTAAAATTTAAATCTATTAAAAGTCATTTGGTCGCTAGGGATTAGTGATTATCGAAATAAATTATCGATCATTGAAAATAATCGATTATTTTTGATCAATTGATTATTTTCAAACAATATATTTTTGTCATTTCCTTTAAAATCGACTACTTGATTATCTTTGAAAAATCAAAAATAATCGATAATCGATTATTTTCAAATAAACCATTTTTTTCGTCCATGGAAACAGATTATTCGATAATCTTTGAAAAATCGAAAATAATCGATTAATCAAAAATAATCGATTAATTAAAAAGTCGATTAACTGATAAATAGATTTAAAAAAAAACAGAATGATCGATTATTTTAAATAATTGATTATTTTCGATCAATCGATTATTATCAATAATCTATTTTTATTGCATTTCCTTTAAAATCGTTAATTCGATTATCTTTGAAATACCGAAAATAATCGATAATTCCAAAATAATCGCCTAATCGAAAATAATCAATTAATTAAGAAGCCGATTCTATGATAAATCGATTATTACCAATAATCTATTTTATTGTATTTCAAAAATAATCGATTAATTAAAAAGTCGATTAACTGTAGAATCGATTTTCAAAAAAAAACAGAATGATCGATTATTTTAAATAATCGATTATTTTCGATCAATCGATTATTATCAATAATCTATTTTTATTGTATTTCCTTTAAAATCGATAATTCGATTATCTTTGAAATAAAAAAAATAATCAATAATTCCAAAATAATCGCCTAATCGAAAATAACCAATTAATTAAGAAGCCGATTCTATAATAAATCGATTTTCCAAAAAATAAAACGAATTATCTATTATTTTCTAATAATCCTTTTTTCATATTTCCTTTGAAATTGATTATTCGATTATCGAAAATAATTGATTATTAAAAAGCTGATTATCCAATAAATCGATAATTTTAAAAAAATAACAAAAATATCGATTATGTAAAATAACCGATTATATTCAATCGATTACTTTCATATATCTTTGAAAAATCGAAAATAATCAAATAATTAAAAAACCGATTAAACGATAAATCGATTATTTTGAATAAATCTACTTTTTTTGTATTACCTTTAAAATCGATTAATGCATTATCTTAAAAAAAAAAAGAAAATAATTTATTAAAAACAGCGGATAAATCGATTTTCATTAAAAAATATCAGAATTATCGATAAATCGATTATTTTTGTAACCCCTATCGGTCGCTTGCTTTTATCTGAGCATTTAGCTCCAAAATTTAGAGATTCGGATTTTTTGATCCAGTTATCTTTGAAATCGCATTAAATAAATATTGCTAAATTTTGGATTTTTTTTAGTAAACGAAAATTATGTTCGAGTTGTTTAGGGGTTTGTAATGTAACATTTTATTAACGTGACTAAGGGTCGATTCCACCGTTGTGTTAAACGAAGTTTAAAATGAAATTTTTACATTAACACTGTCATTTTAATCTCCGTTTAACACAACAGTGGAATCGGACCTAACTCCTGTAACTTTAGTATTTTTTTTTTGGGCTTATACTAGATTACTTTGTTTTAAGACTGAAAATTCAATGTCACTTTCGATTTGACCGCAAATAAGATGAACCTTGAAATTTTAAGTAGGTCATCCTGTATTTCATCTAATATTCTTATAAAAATACCTTATAAAAATACTTTATAAAAATAAAATTTAGCTAGCAACTACGATTCTTTACCTCTTATTTATCTACCAAAAAGGCCTAAAAACTACCTTTAGAAAACATTCTTATAAAACTACTTTTTAAATACAAAATTTCGTTAGCAATAATGCCTATTTACTATTTATTTAAATTAAATGTTCAAAATTTTACCCTTTTGTAAATTTATGTAAGTAATATGAAATCTGATTTCTGATGCTTAATATTTATTGAAACCCCTTAATGCGGATCTGAAGTATTCAGCCCAGAGAATCATGGCGCTTTATGTCAAAACGTTAATAAATATTTACCGCTGAAAACGAATATATTCATAACAGTAGTACTTGTATTATAAGTACATACAATTTTTCAAGATACATCGTGACATTTTGAACTTGAAATTGAATAACTAGAACACTTTAAATTGCTAAAATACCAACAAATAAATCAAAAAACAGCTGTCAATGGTGATTAAACTCAGGTGGAGGTGATCGCTGAATGGAAATCGGAGCAATTCGGGTGGCGTCGTGCAAAAATGATTTTCAATTGTTGGGTTACTTTGGCTTAAAATAGACAACATGCGCAGTCTGCAAGGTTACATCTTCGGTCTCTTTAATCTAAGATTTTTCATTAATTAAAAATAAAGCATACAAAGTAAGTTTATTTTTACTAAAATGAACCGTATTCGATAAATAATCGATTAATCGAAAATAATCGATTAAAAAAAATCGATTGATAATCGATTAATGTTCTCACCGTTTTCGATTTCTTGGATAAGTCTTCTGACAGCCGATAACCAAGCATTTGAACAGATACCATAAAAATCCGCTCCGGTTATATTATTTGGACACACTTTTAATACTTCTTCAAAATTTACATCTTTATCGAGTTTAAATCTGAAAAAAATATATAAAAAAAAAAAATCGATAATTTAGTAATTCCAATAGAAGTTTTGTTTAACAGAACTTACTTATTTGTAAGAGCTTTTAGAACTGATATTTTTGAAATGTCATCTGTGCATGGTCCAATGTATAATAATTTATCGAATCGTCCAGGTCTTAACAAAGCTGGATCGATTAAATCCGGCCTATTGGTTGCTCCTAAAATGTAAAATTTAAAACCTTTTAGAAAACTTCCTATTTTAATATTACTTATTTAAATTCATATTTTATCATTCTGATATACATGAAATTTCATATTTAATAGTATTTGATTTTGTGTCAGTATTGTTTGTTACAAAAAAACATCACTTCAAATTGTTTAATTCAGAACTTAGACCTTTTAAAAATGCACTTACCAACGATAAATATTGTAACTGACTCATCATTTAATCCATCCATCTCGGCGAGAAGTTGCGACACAACTCGATCCATGACGCCGCCTGAATCTCCAGACAAACCTCTATTAGGAGCAAGGGAGTCCAATTCGTCGAAAAAGATTATGCATGGAGATGCCTCGCGAGCTCTTTTAAATACTAAACAAAAAAAAATCGATTATTTTGTCCACCCCTAATTATAACTTACCAAATATACAGGGTGTATCTAAATAAAACCGAAAAAATTAAAGGAGTGATTCTGTGATGAAAATTATTGTGTTTGGTATAAAATTTTTTGAAAAAACCCTCCCCGGAAAAGTTACACCCCTTCGAAAATTAAAAAAAATAATGGATTTTCTTTTTTATTTTCCCTGTATATCAAGCTAAAGACACGAAACTTGGTAAACATTATCTGTCAATAAAAGTACACTTTTTGAAATTTTTTCAACCCTGAAGTATGCTTAGAAGGGGTTGAAATAATCAACCCCTAAGATATTTTTTCTTACAACTTTTTTTTAGATGAACATTTTTTCTTTAAAAAAGTATGACTGAAAAGCCCAATTCATTGACTAACTTTTTTAACTCTACAAGTTTTTTCTAAAACTTGACCATTTACGAGAAAAAAAATCTAATGCAATACATTTTCAAAAAGATGAGCTAACGCGAGTGTATTTTGCGTCAAGTCTAGTGGCCTGTGCTTTGCATAAAAACATTACTACTGATACCAGAATTGTGTAGTGTCATTTTATGATACCCATCTTATTGTTTCACAAGTTTTATGATTGTGTATTGTAGGAAATATTAGTTGATTGAAAATATGAATGCATATTCGAATTTGGAAATGGCAGATATGCATTTTACATACTGTCGTGCTAACGGTAATTCATTGGAAGCGCAAAGACTATGCTGAACAGTACCCACAGCGTAGACTACCCCATCATACTACGTTCACAACTATTCACCGACGCTTGCGGGAACGTGGTAATTTTGAAAAAAGAAGTTATGATTCTGGTCGTACTAGAGAAGTTAGAACTGCAGCTGTAGAAGAAGCCGTACTTAATTCAATTGAAGAATTCCCAGAAACTAGTACCAGGAGAATAGCCCGTGTCCTACATGTAAGCCAATCCGTTGTTTTTAGAATTTTAAAAGAACAAATGTTGTATCCCTATCATCTTCAACGGGTGCAGGCGTTAATGATTCGAGATTTTTTACTCCGTATGATTTTTTATCAGTGGCTTATTAATATGATTGGCCAAGCACCACAGTTCTTAGGTAATATTTTATTTACTGACGAGGCGAGTTTCTCAAGAGACTGTATTAGAAATTTTCACAACAATCACCTTTGGGCTGACGAAAATTCTCATGGCTTTTTTGAAGGAAATCATCAGTATCAATTTTCATTAAACGTGTGGCTCGGAATTATTAATAATCATTTAATTGGTCCCCATTTTCTTCCGCTACGATTAAATGGTGAAGCATATTGTCATCTCCTTGAAGAATTACCTGTTCTTCTTGAAGAGGCTCCCATTCAAATTAGGCAACATTTATGGTTTATGCACGATGGTGCACCAGCTCATTTTAGTATACGTGCAAGAACTCACCTGGATGAGGTGTATACCAATCAATGGATAGGTCGAGGAGGACCTGTAAACTGGCCAGCCCGCTCCCCTGACCTTAATCCTTTGGATTTTTTGCATATGGGGATATCTGAAATCTTTGATATACACAAACCCAGTTGAAAATATCGATGATCTGCGAAACCGCATTGTAGCAGGGTGTAAAACTATAAGAAATTCTCCAGGAATATTTCATCGTATATGCAATTCTATGAGAAAAAGGTTAGATGCTTGTATTGAAGTTGAAAGCGGTCATTTTCAACATTTATTATAATTGTATTGTCGATATTCGACAGGTTTTTGTTCATTGTTTGTTCACTTTTGGTTTTAGTTGTAGAAGTCTTAAGAATCATAATTTGGTTGGCTGTTGTTTAATAAAACGCTATTTTACATGAGCTTATTTATTTTTTCTCATAAATGCTGAAGTTTTCGAAAAAAACTTGTAGAAATAAAAAAGTTAGTCAATGAATTGGGCTTTGCAGTCATACTTTTTTAAAGAAAAAATTTTCATCTAAAAAAAAGTTGTAAGAAAAAATATCTTAGGGGTTGATTATTTCAACCCCTTCTAAGCATACTTCAGGGTTAAAAAAATTTCAAAAAGTGTACTTTTATTGACAGATAATGTTTACCAAGTTTCGTGTCTTTTGCTTGATATACAGAGAAAATAAAAAAGAAAAACCATTTTTTTTTTAATTTTCGAAGGGGTGTAACTTTTCCGGGGAGGGTTTTTTCAAAAAATTTTACACCAAACACTCACATTAATTTTCATCACAGAATCACCCCTTTAATTTTTTCGGTGTTATTTAGATACACCCTGTATAATAAATATAAAATTTTTATGTAAGAAAATTTATTTAATAAAGTTTTTTACCTTCTCTAATATTTTGTTCAGATTGCCCGACATACATATTCAGTAATTCCGGTCCTTTAACTGACAAAAAACAAAGACTACATTCGGTAGCAACGGCTTTCGCAATTAACGTTTTTCCAGTACCGGGTGGCCCAAAAAGTAATATACCTAAAATGTTAAGTTAGTAACAGAATATTGTGAAGAAAATTTAACAATAGATTCTAACTCTAAAAACATTAAAAAAATGTTTGTAAACATAAGTCTGGAAATGCTCCGTTTTTTAGCACGAACGTCACTGATGTAAGTACTATAGAAAACAATTTTTTGCATGTAAATGTGACCTTACATGATACATTTACATTTATTTCAATATAGATAAATATAAGATAAACTATTTAAAAGGTATTTACAAAAACATACCACATATTCTTTAGACTAAAATAAGTCGATTTAAGTAAAATTACCTTAGTACAAAGTTACTTCGTTTGGGCTCCAGAGGGCCTTGAAGTTACAATTTTTAAATCGTTTTTCCCATATAAATTTAAAACGACATATGCGATTTTACTGAAATTTGGTATATTGGTATAGTTATGATGGTGGGTGAGCTTTTCCGGGTTTTCCTCACCTGTAAGTCAAATCGCACCATCAATCATCCTTAAGTCGCCCCGGAGCGCCACGGCAAATAATAATAATAGCCATCCCTTCCGCTACTCGTAAAGGAGTGAATTAGGGAGAGTAGTATTATTATTATTATAGTTTTATGTGGCAAAAAAAATGGTATTAAAATTTTGTCCGATAATAATACATAGGCGTAGAACTTAATTTTTTAAATAATTGCACCTTTAAAAATTCTACACCAATGGAAGAAAAGGAGTTTGAGTATGAAATTTAGATTGCGCAACTCATTTACTTTAAAAAAGGTACTCTTGATAAGACTCGATTACTCTCATGGTTTTGACGAAATTTGCATTTTAGTAATTTTAGAACATAAACAATAATTATTAAAATACAAACTTTGTCAAAACCATGAGAGTAAATCAAGTGTTATCAAGGGTACTTTTTTGTAGTAAATGAGTACCCAATCCAAATTTCATACTCAAACCCCTTTTTTGCCATTGGCGTAGAATTTTTAAAGGTGCAATTATTTAAAAAATCAAGTTCTACACCTATGTATTATTATCGGGCAAAATTTTATACGATGAAAAACATAAAAAATGTACTTTTTTCATATAGTATTTTTAATACAAATCCCGATGCACGTCAGAGATCATTTATGACGTCACAGCCTTGCAGTGTTGCCTAATCGTCAGAATAGTTGAGGAATTTAGAATTTTTTAAAATTGTAAGGTTATGTATTTGTTATGTTACTATATAGTAGGAACAATTAGTTTTAAATGTATATAACTAACGGAAAATATTGAATTCCTTTATGAATAATAAACATCTGAACAAAAAAGCTTTAAACATTTTATGCAAGTCATGGAAAATAAAACTGTAAGGTAGTATATTGCAGATGGATCAAAATTGGTTTAGAATTAGCACAGAAAATATCTAAAACTAATTTAATTTCACCAAGAAAGTTATTCAACAGAACTACATTTAAGTTATAAACCACAACACCCCATAAAATTAAAGAGGTCATTGAAAAAATTAAAACTACAAAGGCATGTGGAGGATTCATAATATCAGTAGATACCTATACTTAAAAAATTAAAGTTTGAAAATGCTAAAATATTTGAATACAAGAAGGAAATTGTTAAAATATTTGAGTAGGTGCTTTAGTAAATCTCACTGTCAGTAACGGTTCTGTAGCTCAAGTATTCAAGATAGCCAGAAATGCTTCAAAAATAAACAGATATCGCTACTTCTTTTCAACTCTAAAGTTATCGAAACATGTATGAACAATAGATTCATCACTCAAACATCAAGATTCTCCATTTTATCAGCTTCAAAAGACATTTGAAAAATGTTATTCTCAGTCAAATATTTTTTTTATATCTTGGAATAAATTAAATAAAAATACAGATATATAAGAAATATATCAAACTGTTTATTGTTTTAAAAATTAGACAATGTTTTTTTTTTAATTACACTATTTTCTCATAAAAAACAATTATTTATCTACTAATCTTCATTATTTCTATAAAATTCTTTTATTTCTCCTAATCCAGATCGCAAGTATTTGAATCACAGTCATCGATATCGTTATTAGGGTTAATTATAATAAAAATAATTTCCAATCTATTAAAAACTCCCTCTCTGCCAATATGTTTATTATAATATTGCTTAGAAAGGTCACAAATAAGTTCAATGGAGTTAAAAATACAATGGCAGGGAAGATTACGTAATACTTTGTCTATATTGTTCTGCTTAGGTAATTATCTACCATATATTTCTTTGGCGGTTCGCACCTGAAAAAAGAATGTTTTATTTATTTCTATTTAGTTGCCATTTCGTATAACGTGTGTCAATATCGCTATATTCTAAATTGTAATATCGAAACAACACATTATATCAATGATTTAATGTTAGGTACACCATTATATCAAATCTTGTAACTTCATTTTTAATTTTTTGATATTGTTTTAAAGTTTATTTCTGAAAAAAAAAGGCATTTTTGGGTTTCACTGTACATCTCGAAAATATGTAAAACATGTAGATGTTTATTGACCACTGTAATCAAATTTTTCCAATTAAATTGTCTTTATATGATTGCTAGAATAGCGTATCTACCATTAAATCTTCAATATGATGTGTCATTTCAATATTAATATTTTTTTTACTTGATTTACACAATTACTGATACCTTAATTTACTTTAAATTTGGTTTCATCTCTTGCCATCGATTTTTGTAGGTCTAACACCCTTTGTCATTATTTTCCCAGGAGCTGTTTAATGTTTCATTTTGAATGATACATTTTTCATCAATGACAACGAAATGCTTCTGTTGTAATTCTATAATTTCTTAAAAACTGACCTATTTACAGTTCACGTCTCGGTTATCTTTTTTCCTTCATTCTTTTAATACAGTTGACAATGATGCAATATAGCCATTAAACATTTGTCGCTCAATCAACTTTTCTCTTAAAGGTTCCAAAGTTATATGTTGACCTGCAAATAAGTATGTATTTATATTACTGTATACAAATTAAAACTTTTATAGGTAATATAAATAAATTATGATTGAATAAATAGATTTGTCTTTATACTTACTTGTTTCATACATATTATAAATACCACTTCGGATTCCACTTGTATCCAGTGTTATTGTATTAGTAGGTTATCCTTTGTTTATATGAATGCTTTTTAATTAGCGATTTTAATCATTCATTATTCTTGACTGCTTGCCAAATACTACTGACAGTAGAAATATTTTTATTTAGAGATGCTGCAACACACTAAAAAAGTCAAGAAAATAATTTCATATTTCTATTAAATTTTATAACTTGTTACCTCTCTTACAGCAGTTAAAGGTAAACGTGGTCCATCATTATCACGCTCTCATTCAAAATAATGGAATAAAGAAGCTATCAACTCCTTACAAGGACTATTTAGTTTTTTAGGCATTTTGTATATAAAAATTAAACGACAAATAATCAGCTTATTCACTCTATGGTTGTTTTGAAAAATAGTTTTTTATAAGTATAACTGGCAAAGCTTAAAAATACAGGAAAAAGGATTTTAAATTACAGAAAACAAAATGCACAATCAATAATTAACTCAACATAAACATAACCTAACTAAATCAGTGAAATTTTTTAAAAGGGGGTTGCAACACCGCAACAAGGTGTACCAATTGCTGTAATGACATTTCTTCTCTATAAATACGAGCTTCATGGGCGTACACAATGTCAAAATTATTTAATTTAAAGTATTATTTTTTGAGTACTAAACATTTAATAATGTTTTTATAAATTTTATATTATCAAGAATTAGACATGTATAAACTAAATAATTTAAATAATTCTTAAAATTATCAAAATAATCACCATAACAGTTTTCGACTTTTTAGTAATATGACTACGTTCATGAATGCTCGCGACTATACGTGACTTTTTCGGATTATTAGCTTAGTTAGGGACATTTTAATTAGTTGGTAGTACTATGACGAATGACCGACGTCATTGCTGACGTGCATCGGGATTTGTATTAAAAATACTATATCTTCTTCAACACATCTAATCGAAACTTTTAACAAAAATACTCGATTCTTGCCATGTACGAATATTTGAGGAATATTAATTATTTGCCTGCAATACGTATACAAAAACATTTATTGTTGGTTTCCATAGTTTCATCTAAATAAAAATATTGTCAAGTTTTAACACCTAATCTCTTGTTAACGATTGAAAGTGTTCTACCTGACTCAATAATTAAAAAAACAAATGAGTGGTTTATTAATATGGCTGTACAATATACCAATGCAGAATATACCGATATGTTACTGACAGGGTGTACTCTGAAAGGTTTCCAAATCGTCGTGTACCTAACCACCCAACTTTTGCTGCTGTTGAGAGACGTCTTCGGGAGACCGGTTACTTTGCTCCCAACACTGTTGATAATGGAAGAGAACGTTTTGTAAGGATTCCTGAAGTTGAAGAAGACATTTTAGAACGTGTTGAAGAAGATCCAGAATTGAGCACCAGACGAATTGGAAGGGAACTAGGAGTAAGTAAAGATGTCGTTCATAAAGTGCTTAGAGAACAATTGCTATATCCATACCATACGAAGCCAGTACAAGAATTATTAGTCCATGATCCTCAAATTCGTTTGGGTTTTTGTCGATTTGTTAATATGCAAAGAGAAAGAGATCCAAACTTTGTCAAGAAGGTTCTCTTTACCGATGAAGCGGGTTTTACAAGAAGAGGTATAACTAATACCCATAATGAACATGTTTATGCCGTTGAAAATCCGCATGCAATAGAGGTAAACCATTTTCAGCACGAATTCAAAATTAATATGTGGGCTGGAATAATTGGTAATTTCATTGTTGGTCCTGTTATACTTCCACGAAGATTAACTGAAGAAAATTATTTGGATTTTCTACAAAATACGTTGTCAGAATTGTTAGAAGATTTACCTCTCCAACTTCGGAGAGATATGTGGTTTATGCAAGATGGAGCTCCACCACATTTTAAACGTTAGAAACCACTTGAATGAACAATATCCACACAAATGGATAGGCAGAGGTAATGACGCACCTGTAAACTGGCCACCACGTTCCCCAGACCTAACACCGATGGATTACTTTTTATGGGGACATCTGAAATCCACAGTTTACAGGGAACCTGTAGAAAATGAGGAACAACTCTGGCAACGTATTCAAGATGCAATAAACAATCTTAGAGGTGATGAAGAAGTTATGAAAAGGATACATTTTAATTTTCTTTGACGTATAAATCTTTGTATGCGTGAAAATGGTGAACATTTTGAACAATTTTTGTAAAATCTCTATTTTGATTATGTTGTAAATAAATATTTTTGTGAAACCTATACACTCTAAATTATTAAAACATAAATTTAGCGAAAACCATGAGAGTAATCGACTCTTATCAATAGTACATTTTTTAAAGTAAATGAGTTGCGCAATCTAAATTTCATACTCAAACTCCTTTTCTTCCATTGGCGTAGAATTTTTAAAGGTGCAATTATTTAAAAAATCAAGTTCTACTCCTATGTAATATTATGGGTCAAAATTTTAATACCATTTTTTTTGCCACATAAAACTCTACCAATACACCAAATTTCAGCAAAATCGCATATGCCGTTTTAAATTTATATGGGAAAAACGATTTAAAAATTGTAACTTCAAGGCCCTCTGGAACCCAAACGAAGCAACTTTGTACTAAGGTAATTTTACTTAAATCGACTTATTTTGGTCTAAGGAATAAGTGGTATGTTTTTGTAAAGACCTTTTACCTCTGTATATAGAATATGACATTAAATTATCTTCAAAACATTCTGTAACACCCTGTATATTTTATTGATTAATTAAAATCTTTTTAGCGATTCAAATTGTGTGTAAATTGTAAAGTACCTGATCTTTTAAGCCCCGTTTTTTTAAATAAATCCGGATGTTTTAATGGAAGATTGATAGTTTTAATAATTTCCTCTTTTACATCACTCAACCCACCAACATCGGACCAAAGCACTTTCGGTACTTTAGGGGCTCCTATACTTTCGTTGTAATTCTTTTGCATGTAATCTGTAATAAATAACACATCCTATAACATACTTATACTTATTAAATACTTTAAATACTTATATTAAAAAAATAAAGTTCTCAATTCGTTGGAATATTTTTTTATGTTCGTTCAGCGATAATTCTTTACTACGTTTGTATTTTTATTAGAAAGGGGGCACCACAGGGATGGTTCATATAAATTTGGTCAAGATTTGTTGATGGGATCCTCGAGAAAATCATCAAATTCTTTATTTTATAATTATTCAAAATATAATAATTCTAACGTTAATCAACAATTTTCAAAACCTATATTTCCACGACAACCAATACATGTTTACGAATCGTCAAGTTTTTGGGGAAAACCTAAAACCTCAAAATGTTTTCAAACCCAATGAAATTAATTCAAATCAATTACTCAAATCAATTACTCAAATCAGAACTTATGTCAACCACCTCTTGAAATCCCTCACTCATAAAAAACGCGATCTATAATCAAAGACAAAACCATTTTCAAAATAATCGAAAACTAAATTTCTCTTTTGAAGAATTAAATAATACACAAACGAGTTGAAAATGTCCAAAAGGCCAGCATTGTCGAAATAATTACATAATATAAATGAATAAATATAGTACAAATAATCCGCTAAAAAAATTGTTAATTGATAGTGGAAGTTCAAAATCCATAATAAAACCATCTATTGATGACAAATAAATAAAAACTTTGAAAATAGGTAAAATATGTATTTTTATATGTATATTAAATTTATCCACAGTTTTTGGTGACTTTTCTATTTAGAATTGCCTAAATGACAATGTAGGGAATTTAGACTATTGGAAGAAAAAGAGGACAGATTCTATGACGAGGAAGAGGTAAAGGAAAAAAACGGAACCTCAATCCACAATTTTTCATGGGCATTAGACCTAGGAGCACACCAGATCTGAAATTCCTTTGGCAAAAATAATTTAACATGCATTAAGACTACTTATTTGCGACCATAATATATCCTTTAGGTCAAGTGTACTAACATACATATAACATTATATAACATACCTATTGCTGTGAAGAAATTATCATTTGTAACAGTTTTTTCGAAATCAGCATCATTTTTTTCGGAATTCCTTTCAGCATAATAGACCAAAGCCTTTAGATCTGCATAAAAAAATCCATGCGTCCTACTAGCAATTTCAGAAAAACTAACAACGAACTCCAAACTTCGATGTTCACAAATCCATTTCAAATTTTCTTCGCGCTGCTTCTCTGTTGGAGCGTTTATCTCAAAAGTTTCTAAAAATAACTTTTGTAGATCGTATGGTACATTTTTTTGACTGGCACAACAGAAAAGTATTACAGGAAAATCGTTTTTGTCGATTAGTTTTTCTAATTCATCTGCGAAGTTGCCCATGATACGTTCGTCGTATTGGCCGTCATTATTTTTTCCGAAATTCTATAAACAAATATTATGTAGAAGCAGATAATCATGTATTACTTTAGTTTAATGAGGACATACGTTTATGTATCCTACCTAGCCTATAGCTAAGTGACCTTTTATTTTACAAGCAATTTTAGTGTTTCTTCAGTAATTTCTGAGTAATCGGCAAAAAGTTATATATGTTTAAACAAATAATTGGTGTGTATGGAGATGTTCATATTTTCAAGTAAAATTATGGGCTAAACAATTAAAATGGAGTCTGTTAAAACTGTGAAAAACGTTAAAAAATTTAGTGTTCTCCAATTCCAAGGCTTATACAACAGGAAAGCCTGTGAGAAAAGAAAATTCTAAAGAAAATGTAACTGCCTTGAACGACGATCCAAACCTTCTTTCATGGATTGTTAATGGGATGCTTCACTAACCAAGAATCTATGTAGTAGGATGTCTATCACCAAAGAATGCCAATACACAACAATTTTCTGCTGGAAAAAGTAATTTTCAATGACTCTAATAGCTGAGAAAAAGTTGGCAGCTTCATTGGTAGTGTCGCTGCGAGAACAGGCAGCGGGCGTTTTACAGTTACTTCCTCAAGAGTCTTTGAAGACAAGGTAAAGTCAGCAGCATTTGAAATAGATATTCAAAAGCCAGCTAAAGACTTTTATTCAGAAACAATTCAACGACTGTATTCAATCCGGCTCGAAGGACCAAAATTTATGGATGTAAACGAACTTGCTGTGCACAGTAATCTTGATTTTTCACATTAAAAAAAGCACTTGATACGTTTGTGAAACAATATTTATTCCTGCTTTCGCAGCGTTCAGTTACCGAATACCAAATATTATTAAAAAAAAAACAACTTTTTTATCTGGAAATTGACGATGTTGCCAAATTCTACAGAATATCTAGTTTTAAACTAAAAAATACATTTTATATATAAAAAAGGCAGTTACAAACCTAACCAATGGGAGTCTACAGCCATTCATTAATGGACTACAGTATGTGGAAATGCAGCAAATTCTTCGGCTACTTCACAAGACGCTGAGTGAAAAACTGATTGCAGCCCAGGAATATGAGGCAGTAAAAATCATATCCAGATTTTCTCGGGCAAAATTGAAAGAATTTAGATTCCAGAAATGAAGAGGCCACTACTAATACGATCATCCAACCTATTATCTCACAAATTCTGCAAAATATGCAACGAAAATAAGAGCAGAAGAAGCTTCAATTGCGGAAGAATTGGACACCTTCAAAAAACCTGCAGAAGTAGGGCTCGTTCTATAAATCGGTTAGAAATTCTTTAGTTACCCAAATTTAGCTGTCTCCATACATTCCTGGAGACAAAAAAAATATCTTCTGCATTTCTCATGAAACGTCCATAATATAAATATAATCGAAGATCGTGGACTCGCTGAGCTGCCATATTAACTAATTATTTTAATAATAATAACTTTAGCAGTAGATTTTCTTAGAATATGGAAGATAATTCTGTATAGGTAAAATAAAAAACGTTGAATTAAAAAAACATTTTGAGGGTACTTTTTCTTCAATAGCTAGGTAGGAATATAAAAATACAGCCTCTTATTATTATTATCAGATTTTTATATGAATATATATTATCAAATTTAATCAATATTTTATTAATAAGTAGGTAATACATATTGAAATGCTTTTAGATATAGTAACATTTCCCTATAGAAATATTTAAAGTTTACCTCAAAATTATGCATGGAAATAATGCAAGGTGCTGCCATCTTTGCATTAAAAAATGCATTGTGTAACTTTGTCTCGTTTTGTGCATAAACATTGGCCATCAATTCGAAATTATCTATCTTATAATAATGCATTCCCAAATGGTCTGCTAAAGCGGCAATCAAGAGCTCTTTTCCGCTACCTACGTTGCCGACTAATAAAAAGGCTGGTTTTAAAGGCAATTTTGCTAAAAAAATAATTAAATTGCTATAATGAGATAACATAAATTAGTACCATATATGTAATTTTTTGTTTCTGGGTTATGTTGTGATTTTTCTTGGTTATTACTACCAAACATTCACGCCACTGAAGATGACTGCCGCAATTGCAGCTGAAACGTTTGGTAGTGATTGACACCGGCTATATTCTTACAGTATCTAAATAATAGTCACCCTTACTATAAGTTTAGAGTATATGTATTCTTGAAAATAACTATTTAATTTTTAGGTCACAACTTCAAAAAATTGATGATTTTAATTGACATTTCAGAGTAATTTATTATTTAGGAAGTTTTCGAGGAAAGTGGAGAAAGTTTTCTTGAAAAGTTTTTCGAGAACCTCAAAATATTATTTATTAAAGTTGAAAGTTTGTTTGACTTGAAATTTATAATGAAGCATCATCGCCGAGGATTTTTATTTTTATGACACCAAAATCAATAGAAATGTTAAGGGTGAAAATAGGCGAGAACGTAATGCTTGTAAAAACATCAACTCTGATCATTCTATTTAAAAAATTAGCTTACCTTTTCTTAAAAACGGTTTTACAGCAATTTGTATATCTTCGAAATATTTTTGAAGTCCATAGGGAACAATTGGCAATTGTTTAAAGAATTCGTCATTCTTTGGAATAAATTTCATAGTTTTTTTAGGTAAAAATCTTTGTATATTAATACCTTGCTTTACCGCAGTTTCTCCAATGACACAACAAAATGTACCGGTCACTTCTTCGTTTTTATAAATAACTTTATTACATTTGTAAAAAACACTATGTACATTATTAATTTTACTATTTAAATAATAAATTTCTTCCGCGGAATATTTGATATTGATTTCAATTAAATCACCTCTACGGACTAATTTTGGAGTTTTGAAAAATCGTTCTATAATCGAATCTGATAAAGAATTATTTATGTCAAATGGAGAACTTACTAGCGAAATATTGATTTCATCGGCAAATTTTAAACAATTAATGTTATAATTAAGTAATCTTAAATTATTGATAAGATTTAAGTTAAGCAAGTTAAGATAGAACGTGTCTGAAACTAACAGTTCGTTTTTTTTACAACGTGAGTCTGCAATTGGGTAAACAATTGTAAAATTTTTGGATTTATCACAATATAATTTTAACACTTTGTCACTTAAATAAATATTTTCTGGATGCACTACGACTGTGTGATTTAAATCTTTAAACAAATGTTTTCCATTTATATTTTTTGTTATAAAATCTATTGATACGGGTTGCACATTACACTTTAACTGTCTTTTTATAGTTCTTAAGTACCATATGTACATATAAAATATAAACCAAAACGGGTGATATTTAGGGTAAAGAATTTTTAGTGCCGTAAATAAAATTTTGATTTCTTTATCTTCGATTTCCATTATGATGGTTTTTCTGTAAAAAAAATGTTTTTTTTTAGAAAATTTAGAAACTGCCCCGCTCAAAATGGTCGTTTTCATCAAGTAAACATTTTGAAAAAAATTTTAAAAACCCTTTAGCATTGTTTATTACCAGGGTCATATTCACGCCAAAATGAAAATAGGCCATAATAAATTAGAAATACCTTTGCGTTTGACACGTAAAGCGGTATCATTTTAGAAGCAGGCGGGGGTTGAAGTGAATAACAAATCATCAACAACTCTTCCATAAAATACCAACAATTTTTTTTATAATTTATTTTCTTTTAACCAATTAATCTAACCAGAGATTTCTATATTGGTTGACGTGTTGACCTCTCTTTTTATCTACAGGCGTTCGCGAAAACCTCTCGCTCCCTTGCGCTCACTCAGAATAGTGCACCACAGGGACGCGATTAGCCAGATCGCAGTGGCGTACCAAAAAATAGAGGTTAACACGCCAAACAGATCCGTGAAACAATTTGCCTATTTAAAATCACTTAATTGACATTATTTTGTACATCGCACATAATCAAAGTAGGACGGGGCATACAAATCTTTTCAATCATTAATATAGAATACCATACCATGTTCAATAAATTTACATCTTAAATAACATTTTAATTTTGAAAAAATCTTATTAAAAATGGGGGACTTTTGGGATGGGGGGTTGAAATTAAATCAAAAATGAAGCGATATCAACATGAAATTTTTGGTAAAAAATCAAGCTTTATAAGAAGATGAGACATGTTGATTGTTAAAAAAATGGGAGGTTAAAATTTACTCAAAAACGAACAAAATAAACATGAAATTTTTGCAAAAAATTAAGATCTATAAGAGAAAGAAGCCATTTGATTTTGAAAAAAAAAAAAATTATAAATGTGGGGATTAAGGAGGGTTGAAATGAAAAAAAAAAAAATCAAAATTTAAAAACGAAAAGCGATATCAACACGAAATTTTTAGAAAAATCAAACCCTATAAGAGGATAAAGCCTATTATTTGTAAAAAAAATCTAAATAAAAATGGGGGGAACGAAATATAGAAAAAAAATCTTAACTCAAAAACAAAAAAATTAAATATTTTAGTAAAATAAAGCTCTATAAGAAGATAAAAGCTATTTGAATTTAAATTAAAATGGGGGGTTAAGGTGTTCGAAATATTAAAAAAATTTAACTTAAAAACGAAAAAATTAAACCCTATATAAAGACAAAGTTTAATAGTTTAAAAAAAAATTGTAAATAAAATGGGGGAGGTTAAGAGGATTGATTAAAAAAAAAAGAAATCAAACATCAAAAGCGATATTAATATAAAATTTTTAGTAAAAAAACAAGCACTATTGATTCTACGAAAATTTGAATAAAAATAAGAGGTTAAGGGGGATTAAAATATTTAAAAGAATGTTAACTTAAAAAAGAAAAATAATATCAACTTATGGGGAGGGTGGCTTAGTGGTAGTCTCTGCCTGTGGATTTAACGGTCCTAGGTTCGAATCCCACAGCTAGCCGGGATTTTTTATTTATTTTAATTATTTAAAATTAATTCTGATGCCTTGGTAAGATTCTCCTCTCGACCATTCAGTGCTGTTCCTAAAGTGGCGCTGGGAAACAGTAACAAAGCCTACATAAAACACGAAGCTAAGCTAATGGCTTTAGTAGTCGATGTAGATGACACCAAATTAAAAAAAAATGTCAACTTGATATTTTAAGCAAAAATAAAGCTCTATGAGAGGAAAATCCCTTTAAATTTGAATAAAATCCTAATAAAATGGGGGGTTTAAGGGGGGTTAAAAATAAATAAATAAAATAATATCAACTTAAAATTTTTACCAAAAATTAAGCTCTATAAGGGGACAAAAACAATTGATAAAAAAAAATTGTGAAAAAAATGGGGGGATTTAAGAAGGGGGAGTTGAATTAAAAAAAAATAAAAATAAAATTAAACATTAAAAACGATATCAACATATTTTTAGTAAAAATCCAGTTCTATAACAGAATGAAGCCTATTGATTCTGAAAAAAATCTTAATCAAAATTGGGGGATAAGGGGGGAATATTAATAAAAATCCTAACTTAGAAATATTGATTCTAAAATTTTTTTTGTTTGTATAATCAGGGCCGACTAGAGGAGGGGGGGGGGCAGCCGGGACCAATTCCCGGGAAAATTCAATTCAAGTAGAGGAGTAGAGGAGGAAAAGTTTTTGTTTGAAGAGCTTTTTTTTTCAATTCGAGTAGAGGAGGAAAAGGTTTTGCTTGAAAACTTTTTTTTAGAGACATTTAAGTAAAGAGAGAATATTTTTTATAAAATTGTTAAAATTGTCACGGGGCCCGATCTAGAGAATTGTCCTGGAGCCCGGCCTGGCTCTCGGCAGCCCTGTGTATAATATGAATAAGAAGTGGTTGTCTGGCGTTATTTCCATAACCTTTAATTTTTACTGATATATTATAGAAAAAAACCTAATTTGAAAACAAAACAAATATTAAACAAACACTTTTATATTTATTGATAAGTATATAAATCGAAAAACCTGTAATTAAACTTGGCATGAAATGTATCCAACAAAAAATTAAAGATTGACAATTCACACTACAACATTTCAAATAAACAAACACAGATGTAGTAGATTTATCTGATGTAGATAAACAAACGTTCCAGAAGTAGTGAAAAAATGCATTGGATGTGGATATTCAAATATTAATTTACCACTAATGAAAACTAGCCTTGCCCTTAAGAATTTCAGTTAATCCACCTTTTCATAAGATGGTATGGTAGGCAATTATTATCAGGTATCAGTAGGTAATCACCTTGTGAAACAACCAGATATTTGTAATGTTCATATAAAAAGTACAGCTGGTTTGAAATTACCTTGTACCTTTAATTATACATTGACTTTTACTTCTACATCTGTGGTTTATATTTACAAACATTTGATTTAAGACTCAATGTAGACAAGTTAAATGGTCCCTACATAATAATTAACTGTACTAATTGAATGCTTACCTTAATATTGCATAATAGTTTTATCACATACTTTAATTAACTAACAATAAATCAAAAATACTAACACTAGTAGATAAATGTAAAAAAAGTGAGGTTAAAATTAACCTTTGCTTGGCTTTTTGACATTTTGCAGTTTGATGATCGCCGCATTGCCAAATTTAAATTATATTTTTCCCAATCTCTATGTTTCAAATAATTAATAATAATAATAATAATAATAATAATTAATAATAATAATAATAAATTTGTGTATTTTGTTAGATTCATTTATCAAGTTAACTATATTGAACTATTTCCTCAATACATTAATGAATATTTTACATTTGTTTTTTCAAATTGTTTAATACTTTCAGAAGAAATACACTATATAATTTATTTAAATTAGTTTTGTAATATTATTAGCATTTAATCAACCTACATATATTCGTATTTAATAATGTAAAACATAAATAAGCAATTTTAGAAGATTGAGAAGAATACTATCCTTTTCTATTAACCAAGACAAAGCAATTTTTGTTCCTTATACGGCTTTTAAGGACATTGTATAGAATTGCACAAGCTAGAATTAATTAGGACTTAGGATATGTCAATAACTGATTTTTCAAAAAAATTAATATAAGACATATATTTTTCTTCGAAAGGATACTTTCCTTAAGGCTAACAAAATATTCATCACTTTGGCAACGCTGTAAACCGATTACCATTTTAGTGTATTACTGTAAAACGTGTTGCATATCATTCAGGTTAGCCGCTAAAATTTCAAATCTAGTAATAATTTCTCGACTTATATCGTTTAATTTATGTGAAAATAGCTTTTTAATTGCACAAAAAAAATCAAAAAGCGTAAAAGAATCACTGGAAATAGAAGAAACGTATATATCACAAAGGAAAATTCCATGAGTCATTAGTAATGCGAAAGCGCAAACTCTAATAGAATGTTTTGAATTGAACAAGGAGGAAACAGGGAGAAACACCCCTTGTGTGCTATCAACAAGGGTGCGTAATATTCTTTGGTCTTATACCGTGAAAGAGACGGATTTTCCTGAATTGAAGTGCCGGTAGCTCGAAATTTGTAGAAAGCTCGGGAGTGTTTCGATAAATTTGGGAGATAAGTGTGTGTTTAAAAAAATACTAGTAGTTATAAAAAGTTAGCAAAGTTTGTGATTTATTTTTATAGTTATACAGAGTGTTACGATTGACGGAATTATCAGAGAAGTAAAGGAAAATATAGTGAATAAATAGATTCATTTTTTTTTATATTTACAAAATTGAAAATATTAAAATATTTTCGAATAAATTTTTGTTAGGGTGTTGGATAAACAAGGAAAATTTACTTGTTTTTAACTGTGTATGGAAATTGTTAAAATAAACAAGTTTTTCCAATCATTTTTTCATAAAAACTTAAAAATATGGAAGATTGTTTGTGTTTAAACTTAACTAGTACGTTCTTGTTCAGTACGGTAAATTTTAGTCCCTCATCTGTTTAAATTTAATTTAATTTACATAATTTTCGGTTTGCTGTCAAAATTTATAGCAAATTAGTCTACAAGGAGGCTGACACACCCTATATACATAATACATATACATTTCTATTAGAATACAAAGTACTATTTCTGCTTTTTGTATTCTAATAAAAATATACAGGGTGTCCCATAATTGTTCAATATTTCAATTTGTGTTATAGACAAGCAAACGAGTAACAAATAAGAGTTATATGGATTTGAAAAATAAATATTTATAAAATGTTTTGCATTTTTACCTGGCAAATAAAAATGTATATTTTTAAATAGAATAATTTGTATTTTATTTTAATTTTAGAAAGGTTTTTGCCAGTAAAAGCTGCGCGTCTTTTTCCCGCCCAGGGGGTCGATTATCGACTCGTAGGAATTTTTTTCTATAGGAATATTTGACTTTTTTCTATACGTCGGAAATTTATGACATTTTCCTACATACAAACTCCTATAGTAAAAGGTTCTTACAAGTCGAGAA